GTTAAAAACAGTACAGCATTTAATATTAAAAACTTCCCTAAACAGGGCTGCCCTCAGATGTCTTTTAAAGATAGGGTAGCTGCTTATTTCCTTCTCATCTGAAAGGAGGGTGTTCCACAGGGTGGGCGCCACTACTGAGAAGGCCCTCTGTCTGGTTCCCTGTAACCTCACTTATCGCAATGAGGGACCTGCCAGAAGGCCCTCGCAGCTGGATTTTAGTGTCCGGGCTGAACGATGGGGGTGGAGATGCTCCTTCAGGTATACAGGACCGAGGCCGTTTAGGGCTTTAAAGGTCAGCACCAACACTTTGAATTGTGCTCGGAAACGTACTGGGAGCCAATCTCTCAGGACTGGTGTTATGTGGTCCCTGCGGCCACTCCCAGTCACCAGTCTAGCTGCCGCATTCTGGATTAATTGCAGTTTCCGGGTCACCTTCAGTAACTCATAACTCATTCAGTGGCCATTGTTTCTTTGCTTGAGTTAATTTGAGGAAATGCATTTAAGAGCCTGTTTGCTAAGCTTGAAAAGGAAAACAAGAATAACCACACATCAAGACCAAATGAATACAATCTTAACCCCAAGCGCTGGTCCGGGCCCAGCTTTTAAACTGCTTGTGTTGGCAATCTGGCCAAGTTGTTCCAGTGTGTGCAAAAGTTGCTTTCATCAGCTGGAGACTCCAAAGTCCCTGGCACTTAAATTTCATACATAAATTGAAAGTGTGTTCAGACAAACCCACTGAGGTGGGTCTGTATCGGCTGGTCCTGACCCCTATCTCCATGCAGTAAGGTTTCTGCTTGCATTAGGGGGGTCTTATCTGTACCTTCCAATTTTTCAGGGTTCCAATTGTGCAACGTGAATAAATGCACATTGTGAAGTATGTGCAGAGTTCCCCCGCCTCTGCAGACAGCACCTTGCATGTATGCAGGATAATATGGGAACAACAGACATAATCTCTCACACACACCCCAAGACACACTCCACACATTCATCTGTCCATGCATACAGTCCATGCACACGGGGTGTGAGCTGCACCGCAAGTAAATGCTTCCTTCCCTCTATGTCTTTTTCCAGGGGTGGCTTTTCCTTAATCTTCATGCTTTCAGCGCCATCCTCCCCAACGTATGAAGCAAATGCTGAGGATAAAAAACATATGTGCCTCCCTTGTCACTCTCAAGTAATTTGCTGTTGAACTTTATCCCTCATTAGCTATTTCACAGGAAAAGTCAGCATCAGCTTATCCTGAAATGTTCTAATGAGCACGGATGTCTGATTTCTGCAGGACGGCTGTATTGCCTAGATTGGTGCGTGCTGGGAGACCTGTTGAGGCATTGCTCTGCTTTGTTGCCCCCATTTTACTGTTGTAAAGGAAGGCTCCTACCACGGGGTCAGCGCTATATGCAGCTCAATTTAGGAGGGGAAAGTAGGTTTGATGTGATCTATAGCAGCCTTGTATTTTGCTGTAGGATACGAGGGATTCCATACAAGTGAGGTAGGTCACACCCACACCAAACATTTAAAGCACATTTAATACGCATTTAAAGCACATAGCTTCTCCCAAAGATTCATGGGGACTGTAGCTTATACCTCACAGAGCTAGAATTCCCAGCACTCTTTATGAACTACAAGTCCCCGGAATTCTTTGGGGAAAGCCATGAGTGCTAAAGGTGGCTTAAATGTGCTGAAGGTGGTTTAAATGTGCTAAAGGGGGTTGTTGCATGTTTGAGCCCCATAGGGCCACCTACATTGCAGTGGGTTGGACTAGATGACCCTCACCCTTAAGGGTACATTTCTATGACTTGTCTGAATGGACTGAAGAAGGAGGGGCAGTTTCCCTGCTTCCATGGCCACAGACCCCTATCCTTGCTTTATAACCAGCATGGACAGCCTAGCAGAAGAGCTTCCCCTCCTCTGCTGTCAAAATGTGTTGCAAGCTGGTAATTGTTGTGGGCTTAATTGCATGGCTGATCAATCGCTTATCAGGTCCCAGGCCCTGAATCAGTTTTCGTGGGAATGTGCAACTTGTCTTTCAAACATGTGAAGCACTAAAAGCAGAAAAGCTGGCGTGCCATTGTGGTTAAGGGCTGAACCCTCCATCCACACATGCCTATAACTTGATTTCCTTCCACATGAAGTCTCAGTACTTGAGGAAATGGCAGCTGGAAGTGTGACCTGCTGCAGGTGAAAAGCACTGAGTTTGGACTGGTGTGAGGCAGAATGCAAGACAAGTGTATGATGTTATTCTGAAATTGGGTTAAGACGTCTAATGATTACTGGTGGCAAGAGTGCCTCTGGACATGTGCAGAGCACACCCCATCATTGAACAAATTCATTTACAGACCATCATTTTCAGGTCAGAAGCAGGACTTCAAAGCAAGCTTGAGCCCCCACACCCCCTCTCCTCTAGCCCACACCCTCAACTGCCCCTGTTTCTCACCCTGAGTATTTTCGCCTAGCTGGCAAATGTCGTCCAACTCTAGCAATGCCTCTTGTCCGCATGGTAGATAGAAACAGGTGTGTGAGTCTGTGTAGGAACTAGCCTACTGTACAAAGGTAAAATTTGCACTTCTCACATCACCCAGTTTTGCCTTTGGGAGGTTTTCCAGAAGGCAGTGCAGTCAAAGTTCCTACCCCAGCAGTATATTGAGATTATTGCTCCCTGGGGGGTTGACAACATTCTTCTACAGAGGAAATGAATGCCAAGAGATCATAAACCAGGGAGTGAGGCTTGAAACATTGGGTTTACTTTCTTTGTGTGGACAGGGGTTATTTTAGGATAAGAAAATGGAGATTTTAAAAGACCCCTCTGTATTTAGATTATGCAAACAAACCCTGAGTGTGATCATGAAAGGAACCTAAGATTCCTCCTCCTAATTTGCATGCTTTATGTAATTGCTGGCGGTGAGGGCATTAATTGATTTATTGGTGTGATTAATCAATTAATTCATTATTCACCATTTTAAATTGTAGATTTTTAATTGGAGCTGTCCCTTGTGAAAATGACGTTGAGTGCTGATGGCACTGGTCTATATAATTTATGTGCACCAGGCAGTGATTTTTCCAAACAATAAATGCCTTGTCTGGATCATTTAGTCTGAAGAAATTGTTATCTTCATTAAATACACCTGTATGGACAGAAAGGCAGCAGCCACATTTTTATTGACAAATTAATCTGTTTATAAGCGAGGCAGTTAATTGAATAGCAAAGACTTGGGTGGATGAGTTTCCTTCACTTGCAGTGCCTCTCTGGCTGAGCGCCATATTTTTGAGATCAGAAAGGAATTTTCCCCCAGGTCACATTTGATCTTGGATTGTTTATTCTGTTGCTATTTCACCTCCAGCATCCTTTCTTGACGATTCTTACTTGAATTACATGGAATGATGCACTCTGCAGGCAGCTGGTCTTCAGCGCACTTTCCTTCTATATACGGCATGCTCACCTTGTCCTGTATGTCACAGTAAACCATGGCTAGTTCCTTACCATGATTACACCTTTCTGGTCTGTTTTTGTTCTTCCTTATGTGTATAGGAAACAACGCATCATCCCTGAATTAGCATTACATCTGAGCCAGGGATCGTAGTTTGTTTTACTCCAACATTCCACAATTAGTAAATTAAGAACAAACCTTTGGACAAAAGGCCAAGCCAGGGATTGTATTTTGTTTCCTCTCAGAACAAGTGGGTAGGAGCAAGAGAGACCTGTTAGGAGTATTCACAGTAAACCATGACCTATGGTTTACTGTGACTTGCAAACTGGGCTCATGAGACTGCATACATAAAAGGTAGGGATGAGTAAATGTGTCAGTTTCTGTTTCTTTCAGTTTCCATTTTCAGCTTCAGTTCAGTTCTCCACATTTGCACCTCAGTTTGCCATTTTTTTAAAAAACAACTCCTGGTGAAAAAATTAATCAGTGAATTTCTCTTACACATTTTTGCAAAGCAGTTCCCCTAATTTTTTTGCACATCATTTTCAGTAATATATGCACATTTTATTACATTCATTTTTGTACCCGTTACGTGGCTGGAGAACTTCATTGCAAAATTCACAGAAGTGCAAATTTAGAATGGTATCTTTTTTCACTTCTTGTATTATGCCAAAAAGTGCAGATTAGGTTTGACATTAAATGAACTGAATCTAATTTACCCGCCCTCCCCTGCCCCCAGTAAAGGCACACTAATGGTTTTGGGTCCGAGGAATTTTGAGAGAGTACTGGGAGCACCATACCCATTGGTTACTCCTCTCTCTCCTGCCCCCAGACAGAAAGATGAAAAGCAGGCGGATGCACATGCACATTCTTTGCTTTTTCCAGTAGAATTGAAGCTGATTCTCAAGTGTTCGCATGATTTTAAGCAGAGCCACCTCCAACCCCCCCCCCCCCCAGTTTTCATGCGTAGACTGTATAGTAAAACATCATAGAACTGGTGTGTGTCAGCATCAGGAAAGCATTAAGCAATGGCTTTTCTTTCATGATACAGTGGTACCTCGGGTTAAGTACTTAATTTGTTCCGGAGGTCTGTTCTTAACCTGAAACTGTTCATAACCTGAAGCACCACTTTAGTTAATGGGGCCTCCTGCTGCCACCGTGCCGCCAGAGCTTGATTTCTGTTCTCATCCTGAAGTAAATTTCTTAACCCGAGGTACTGTTTCTGGATTAGCGGAGTCTGTAACCTGAAGCGTATGTAACCTGAAGCGTATATAACCCGAGGTACCACTGTATTTACACAGGATGACAACAAAAGCACCAAGTCACAGAACACACCCATGCACACAGAGGTGACCTAGGATTTGATGATGGTTTTGAGGGGATCCATTGTAAAAAATAGGAGATTCCATAAGGATCAGGGCCTCAGATTCATGTTTTGGTGCCATGGCAGCTGTGGAAAGTGCTGGATTCCTTCTTTTTATGGTACAGACAGATGTGACCCATTATTTGATGGCGGTTTTGGTGGAGAAGGTGTTGAAAATGGGCACTTTCAAGAGGATTTGTCTTACAGGATCTGGCTTGTGTGACTGTGAGGAAAGAAAACTAAGTGGCCAGGGGGATGAAGTGGGGTGGGGAGTCAGATGGGTCAGGAGAGAGACCATCTTGCATACATTTTCTGTCTCTCCTGACCCATCTGATTCCCCATCCCACTACACCCCCCTGGCCACTTAGTTTTCTTTGCTCCATTCTCCCCTTTCTCTCCTACCTTCTGAGTTGCGCCTCTTTCTGCTCAGCTGCTGATCTGAGCCTCAAAAAAGCATATGGAACTGAAAGAGGAAGAGAGACAGACTAGTGCCGTTCCAACTTCCTTCTCCTTTTCAAAGGGGAAAAACTAACCACATTCACCACCCCATGATGAAGTGGGGTGGGCAGTGCATTGAGCAAGGAGTGGCTAGGAAATCAGAGGCCTTGCTGGTTGCGAGGGGAAGTCTTCAAGGGTAGCACACTGGTGACCTCAGGCATACATCAAGTCTAGAACTGAGCGTTTGGTCAAAAAAATACTTGGTCCATTAGCCAGTGAAATGCCATTTTAAAAATGGCCAAGGGTTTTAATTCACCTTATTTGAACAACCACAACAAAAGAAGCTACATACTTTGAACATCAACAGGTTTCAAGCGCATGTTAATTCACAAATCAAATTACCAAGCTGTTACTGAGAAACACTGGTTTGGATCCTAACTTGCCCACTGCAAAACACAAGGGCTCTGCAACTGGGGATAGGTACATTTTGCTTTGTCTCTCTGTTCCTTGTTTCTTTCCAGTCCTGAGTTTAGTTCTCCGCATTTCCACATCAGTTTGTAAATTATTATTTTTCTTAAAGGCCCCCACAAACATCCCTCAACATTTTTGTGCAGTTTTCTCGTATTATACATGATTTAGTATGCAATGAATTTTTGGATGACATTTCCACTAATAAATGCATTTTTTTAAATGCGCACTTCACCGTTGTATATGCAGTTTTGAGCACTGGAGAACTGCACTGCAGAATTTGGAGAAATGTGAATTTAAAAAGAGGGCTATGTTTTGGTTTGTGTACCATTTCAGAAAGTGAAAATTGGGTAGGATTGCCTTTAAAGGCTGCCTGAACCCAATTTGTCTCCTATCCCTCCCCACAACTCCTAGGAACCTATTTGTAAGAGTTCAAAGGGGTGGAAGGACCCTCTTGATGGGGTTCCTCTGTTGGGATGCACCCTCTGCCAGAGCTTGAGTTATGGTCTATACCAATGAAATCAACTTCCTTTAAAAAAATCTTTTTGTAAGGAATTATCATAACCTTTAGCCACGTTAGCTAAGTTTTCTAAAATGTGAACAATTCACTGAACGGTTCTTCTCTTTAGCTTTTATCCTGGAACACCAGGGTCAGTGGCCTACAATTGCAAAACTGAAAGAGAAAAGTAATTAAAGCAGAAAGCACTAGGATCTCATGTTTTATGCATCAACCAGCATCTCCAGCTTTTCAGCGGCTACTGTTTTTATCTTAGAACAGAATCCCAGCCTCCTACAAAAGTTTTGCAGAACAGGCAGCCAGAAGACATGGCGGTGTAGCCAAAGGGCTGGTTTAGCATAGTGGCTGAAAGGCAGAACTACAAATCGGCATGTCCCTGGTTTGAATCTTGCCTCTGCCATTATCTTGCAAGGCAGCCTTGGGCTGGTGAGTCAGTCAAATTTGCCATCACGAAACTGCTAATAATAAAACTATTATTTGTTGGAAGCTGGGCAACTTCCAACAAATTAAAAACATTAAGCACAGTAAAACATCAAACATTAAAAACTTCCCTTCAGGTGTCTTCTAATAAACTGAGAGATACATAGATAATCCCATGCACATTGGATCCCACTTTGTGCTGTGGGTTTTTGTCTGATCCTTTGAGCTTCTAAAGCAAACCTAGAAAACTTATATGTAACATATTTGTCCAGTAAATAACAGGTTCTCTACTGTCCATTATATCTCAGCCTGCATCTTTCCATGGTGCAGTAAGGAAGGTAATAATGATGATTTACTTCGCAGGGCTGTTATAAAGATTACGACTAGGTCCTGGGTGAGGAATCTTGTTCAGTGTGAGGGCCCTTCTAGGCAATGTCTCTAGGGCCACATGATGGGCGGGGCCAGAAGCAAAAGTGGGTGGAGCAACCAGGTTAATTTTACCTTTGTACAGTAGGGTTCTTTGTAGACACACTTGCACACCCATCTCTGTCATCCAGCTGGGCAAGCAAGCATCATCAGAATTCAGTGACACATTCCAGCCAGGCAAAAGCACTCCAGGAGGACCTCTAGGAAGGCTGGCAAAGAATGTGACTTGGAGAGAAGGGGTGTGGGCTGAGATTCCTCATCCTTGAGCTAGATAATGCACAATCGGAACAACTGAAAATGCTATACAAATGTTAAGCATTATTTTTTTGATGTTGATACTGGTACTTCCTGGCAGGGAATATGGTAACTGGCAGGTCCTTTGCCACCGGTGAGAATAGCTTGTGTTCCTCTTTGGAGATGATGGCAGTTCTGGTGAGGCTTTGCTGTGCTTCTAACTTTCCCCCTGTGTGCTGCACCTGCCCAGCAGTATATGACACCAGTGCTGAAAGCTTTGTGTTCGTTGCCAGTATATTACCTAGCTAAGTTCAAGGTATTAGTACACAGTGACACCTCGGGTTAAGTACTTAAGTTGTTCCGGAGGTCCGTTCTTAACCTGAAGCACCACTTTAGCTAATGGGGTCTCCTGCTGCTGCCGCACTGCCGGAGCACGATTTCTGTTCTCATCCTGAAGCAAAGTTCTTAACCCGAGGTAATACTTCTGGGTTAGTGGAGTCTGTAACCTGAAGCGTATGTAACCTGAGGTACCACTGTATACCAGTACAGCCCTAAATAGCCTATGACCAGGTTACCTTGCTCTTTATACACCACCCTGATCACTGATCATCCAGAGAAGAAGCCCTCTGGAAGAAGTCCAACAGTTATATTTGTTTAGTTTTTACCCAAGCGAAGTCTTTTAGCATAGTGTAGTTAGCACCATTGATTTGGAACACTGTTCCTGTTGAAATCAGGCACCTTTCGCCAAGCATTTTTAGAGAATTAATTTGATTCAGTGTCAGCCGTTTGTTCTGCATGTTACAATTCCATTGTACACCACCGCAATATTTTTTTAATGAGTTGGTGGTTTCTAAATATCCAAAGAAAGATAGAAAAAAAGGAAGGAAGGAAAGAGGTAGGGAGGGAGGGTAACCAGCCACCTACACAACAGCAGTTTTGGCTTCACTGAATATTTAAGAAGAGATGACTGATAATGGGAGAAGGTAGGGTCAAGATAACTAGCTGGTTGACAATATTTGATTGCTCAATGGACAAGTATCTCTATTCTTGTCCGGTCCACACACAACAAAGTTGAACGCGGCCTCATCTAACCATGTATAGTGTTGGCCCACCAAATGCTTGACATGCACATTTATGCAGATGTAATCAATCAGTTGACTAAAACTCTGTACAATTCATCCTCGCCCCCTCTTCTCATTAGGCAACATCTCTGCTCAAACTGCTTTCCTTTGTTTTCTCTGGGCCAGACCCATCAGATTCACATCAAATTTCACTTTCAATGAAATGATTCTCTAAGGAAGCAGCCAATGGTCCCTTTCACCCCAAGTGAACTCTGGCGGTAGTTAGGTACGGTGCCTCCTTGTCAAGCGTAGGTAACAATAGGCAGGAATAAAGGCTCTTGCGTAGATTCCTTTCACTGTAATCTGTAAGATTGCAGTGACCCCTTCAATCTGCTTGTTTAGATTAGGAGTTTTAAAAGGCAGAAACGAATGTGCCGCTGTGATTGAGGTCATGTAGCGTAAAACCAGTTCTGCTGTAATAAACCTTTTGTGTTCAAACATTTTTCTTGGTTCAGGTTTGTGAAAAACTTTGGTGTGTGAAATGATCTTCTTTTATTTATTCCAGTTGGTGGTGACTGTTTGAAAATGCTCAGAGAGAACACTATAACTGAAAGCATGAGATGGGGCATTCAGACTGGAGGTTCCAGTTACCTCACTGGTTTGCCTGTTGCAAATACATCCAGCAGACTTGAGGGGTAGGACCAAAAGAGGTCTAAAGGGTTTTGAAAGCTGTCAGTTCCTTGTGTTGCTGCCAGGGAGGCCTGTTGTAAAAATGAGATAGCTGGATGCAGTTTTTGAACGGAGAGTGGCAAAGGGGTTTTGAAGCAAGAGGACAGCTGCAGGGAAACTTGTGGGATGACAGTTCATTCAGTCTGGAAAAGATCAGGTGTTGTACATTGTCACTCTTGTCAGATATACTTGGAGTAGCCATCTTAACATGCTATCCCAATACTAGAGTCCTTTCGTTGCTCCTTCACTATCAAGTTCCAATTACACGACAGTGCTCTGCAGTTGGCATGGTGAGCCAATTGCATATTATAATGCAATCCTGTTTTGCTATTTCATTTTATTAGCTTTTTATATATATATATACCCAAAATTAAAACAAATACCATTTGTTTTTCCCGTTCTCTGCAACCCCTTGACCAAAGACATCTGAAGGCAGCCCTTTTTAGGGAAGTTTTTAATATTTAATGCTGTATTGTTTTTAACACTCAATTGGGAGCCGCCCAGAGTGGCTGGGAAAACTCAGCCAGATAGGTGGGGTATAAATAATAAATTATTATTATTATTATTATTATTATTATTATTATTATTATATAACGTACCAAAATTATCTGTCTGATGGTATGCTTCATTAATCCTGTACTAATCACAATGGAGAAGCATGATTCCCATCCCCTTCCATTTTTTCCATATGTCACTCTAACTCATGGGAAAGGAACCTGTGGCCTTCTGGAAGTTGTTGGCCTCCAACTCCCATCATCCCTAGCCACCTGGACCGCCTCAGGGCCTCTTGCTACCAATCAGATTGGACCATACTGGTCTGGGTGGACCAATGACATGACTCGATACAAGGATATGTAGTTGCTTTGGTGCATTCTTGCCTTTAGGTGTTTGAATTGCCCTTGATTCCTCACCTTAAACCATAGGACTGATTTGTGTTTGCTGTTCTTCTTCGTTTATGTGCTGGGATATGCAGTCATATTTAAGGGGCAGCGCACGCCTCCCAAACAGTAAAGCCATGCGTCATATGTGGTTGAACCGTGCCTCATTCTCTTTAAAAACAGATCTGTCAAAATCAAGGCTGCTGCTCAATGCT